GCTTTATCATTTCCTGTTTGAGGGCATGGATGGGTTGGTGCTCTCAGATAAACAGCCTCATCAATGATGCTACAGGCAAATCAGGGGTAGGCTGTCATTTGTTTTAAATAATGAATAACCCCTAGGGATTCAGTGAACTTCCAGAAATAACAAGTTTGATTTGTGTTTTTGTGTGAGGGTGGGAAAAGCATTTAATGTTACTGCTGAGTCATTGAATGGATGTCTGTTGAGCTCATTATCCCCTCATACAGAGAACCCTCCATGGACATCTACTCCGTAAGTTTGTTACCATTCCTGGGAAAATATTTGACCTAAATACTCTTTGCTCCTCTGTGCTATGGATCATAATTGTATCACAGTGAGCTGTTCTGTTTCTCAACCTCAGAAATATCTGATCCAGCCATTCTAAAAACACATAAACCTTCTATTTCCTTATAGACTCTTTGAGCATATATTTCTTCAGTTTCTTTATCCTCCTTTTTGATTTCTAATTTTAAAAATAGCTTTTCTATCTCCATATTCAATGGGGTATTAGCTCCTAAAATTGGTCAAGCAGGAAAATATAGAATAGTGACCATAGTGACCATTTTTTTTGGGGGGGGGTTGCCTTAGGGCATATGTACTTATAGGAGACAGGGACAGTGAAAGGGAAAGTGAGAAATCAGCCCCCCCCCCCCCCCACACACACACACTCCTGAGGTGACAGCCACACCACAATCTCTTCTCTTTCATTCTCCTCCCGGCATCTTGGGCATACACATGTGCCTGGCATGATTTTCAAGACATCAGGTCTGATTCTTGAACCACTGTCAGCCAAGTGAGAGTCTAGAGAAGTAACCATTATGCCGTCTGTTGACCCCTTCAAAATAGTGAATAATTCTTATAAAGAACTTCTCTTTTTCTTTCTTTTCTTTTCCTTTTTTTTTTAGAGAGAGATTTTTGCTATAGGGCATATACACTTGCAAGAGAGATAGAGAGGCACAAAGCAAAAAATCATCCCCCCCACCCAGCCCCGGGGGGGGGATGACCATGTTGTAATATCTTCTCCATTCTCCTCTCAGAACTTTGGGCATGCATGCACACGGAGGTGGCGTGAGTTTCAAGCCACTGGGTCTGGAACTCTAACCACGGTCCACGTGGTAGTCCAGTGACATAACCATTATGCCATCTGCTGGTCCCAATAAAGAACTTTTCTAATTTTCTCTGGATGATGTATTTGGTAGACAATCTAAGAAATGACAGAGATGACTGAGTGAATGGACTAATTTCTAACTCTCTCCAGCTGAATGGTTCAAATGAAGACTCTTGATCTCCTTTTCCCTTGGCAACCTTTTGTTAGGTTGACACAATAAAATTCAGATTCAGTAATTACTGAGAAGTTGTAAGGCCAAATCTACCCTCGTAACATTTTTTTTCCCAAGTCTTGATAGGTCTGTGATTTCTTGCTAGACAGAGGACACCAAAGTTTACAAACGTTTCTTTATGGTGACTTTATTCAACTTTTAGACTATTTCAGTTAAGATAATTAATGCTTAGATCTGGGGAAACAGGTTCAGAGTGAAGATCATTTCCTATCAAATATAATTTCTAGAATATTCTCATTCTTTCATTGAAGAAACATTACTCCAAGATGTAAAGTTTATCTTTTAAGTAACCATGTGAATTTTATTGCCTTTCAAAACCACGCAGTTTAAAAAGCTGAACTGGAAATATTTAGTGAGAGATGTTTTTCCAAATTTATTTTAGTTGACATGTGTCAGACATGGAACAAAGTAAGTATCTATAAGGTAATTCTAGTAGCTAAACATTAATGAAGATTTGTATTGCAGATAAAAATTTTGCTTTAGATAGAATAAATAAGAGTTTAAAAATGATCAAGAGTTTTAGCCATACCTACAATGGAAATAAATTATAAAAGACTGAGTAAAAGAAGGAAAATGTAATTGAAGTGGGCTATTTCTGATAGCATAGTTCCAGAATCATAGAGATAATAATTAGAATGAACATAATTCTTTTAGGTTTAGAATATTTTACAATTCAATCACTGTAAAAAAAAGAGCATAGGGAACCAGTAGTTAGCGTAATGGCTATGTTGCTTGACCCCCATGTAGTCGACCGCGGTTCGCGTCCTGGACCCGGGGGCTTGGAGCTCACGCTGGGCGCATGTGTGTGCGTGCCCAGGATCCCGAGAGGAGAATGGAGGAGAGGGGATTGCGGCGTGACCATCCCCTCTGGGGGGTGATTTCTCACTTTCTGTCTTTATGTCTCTCTCTGTCTGGCAAGCGCACGTGCCCTATAGTGAAAATCTCTCCAAAAAAAAAAAAAAAAAAAGAGCATAGACATGATTCTTACAGTAACAGCAACATTCTGTTTGGGTCAGACAGAATTCAGTTACAGTATTCTATTGATGCTCTGAAATATTATTTGAATATATATTTAATTTAGATATTGTAAAAGTGGGTTGGACAAATATATAAAAATTATCCTGTTCCCTTATATAATGGAAGCAGAAACACTTTAGAAGTTATTCTGCACCGGTTCTGTTTAATGCACAGATAAAATAAAAAATAATTCTCTAAAAACAATCTGAGGAATACATACTATGTAAAATATTCATTTATTCAGTGTAAGAAATTTCTGAAAATAACAACTTTTAAAACAAGGAAAAATGTAGTATTTTAATAATAAACATGTATGGCCAAACTTTAACCCAATGTACAAGGTAATTTTTTCAATGTCACAGTGACTATGTAAGTTTTAAACCTATGATTGTAGCATGATCACATTTTACTTAACCAATGAAATTGTTTTGTCCTAATGTGACAATTTATGATTTTTGTAGGTAAAACTTGCATCCTTGGGCATCCTACACATTATCATTGGAGCAGCAATTCTTTTTTGGGGGGCTCTTCCTTTGTCCTCTTTAATCTCCAACATGACAACATAAAATATTTTGATTTCTTGACTTCTGTTCTCATCTAGATCAGTAACTATAGCTCTTGACCTGCATTACCTTTTGCTTCTCTTATCCTTTTTGTTCCTACTAACCAAACGTATCACTGTAGTAAGGTATTTATCCCTTGGAACCTTGCCTTCTTTGGTTCTAGCCCACACAAGATCATAAGCATAATTTCCTCAAACACTTTCTTAATCCTTTTCCTTTTCTCTTTAAGAACTGGAGGCAACATTATCTGTTGTTGTTCTAATATTCTCCCTTCCTCTGACCCTTCCTTTTTTCTATTTGGCACAGTCTCTGCTCCTCCCCGCCATCTGGTTGTTATCAGCACAGGGGGTTTGCTTCTAAGAACTTCCCTGCCTGTGCATCTGCCACCCCTGAATCGAATCACTAGGAGCCCCGTGCTTTCTGAGGCAGTGCAGTCCATCTCTGGCTAGGTCAGTTCAGAGAGATTTTTCTTTACTATTTAAATAAAATAAGTCAATGATATGATTTTACGTTTATCTCTGTGTTCATGTTAGTCTACTGAGGTCTTCTTAGTTGTCTTGCCGTGCCGTGTGTGTGACACGCGTGTGTGCCATGTCTACAGTGGTGCTCTGTCTGAGCTTAAGAAAGGATCTCTGCATTTGGTTCTTCCACATTCCCATTTCAGTCCACCCTCTTACCACCTCAGAATCCCAGAAGTGTGAGTTCTAACTTTGCGCATAGACATGTTAATACGTGTTGATGTTTAGGGCACTTACTAAATAAGGAACTATGTATATGTGAAAGTATATATATTCATTTATATTTATCAAATTATAATCTTTTATCTAGGAAATGATTCTATGAATTTTAATTGGAAAGATTGAATGCAAGCTTAATCATGTGCATGCTCACCCACACACAGAATAAAAAACCTAAACATTATCAATTATTTAATTAAAAATGCACTGCAGGTTGTATAGTTCTCTATAATTGGTGAATGGAGACAATATTACAGGTCCCTCGTCTACCTAGACTTTAAATGGCTTCATTTTCTATATATGTAATGTGCTGTTATTTTCTAGATCATAGAACAATTGACATTATTAGTTTTAGTTTTATGTGTGCAGTTTCTTAGAAAGCAAGAAAAATAATGATAGCTTTGCCTGCATTTTACAATGCAAATATGAGAAAACATCTCGGCATTGTTAACATGAAAACACAATGAAAATTTTCAAATAGTCTATGTAGTCTGACCTTTTATTATCATCTAAATTATTAACATCTCTGAGTCTTCTTACATTTTAAACTCTTTCAAAACCTGTTTCTATAATAATTTTAATGGAATGTCCTGTGTTGCTATTTTAATCACAGCACACAGCCACAGCCTGTAATTAGATTTCAGTTAGAACCATTGCTGCTACCCAGCAACCTGAGAGTAGATACTTATATCTATGTGGGTTTCTTCTCCTGAACTCCCTCTGCCTCGTCTGCGAAATGCAACAAGAAAGTGTGAAAACCGACAATGGACAGCAGAGGTTTCTTCTATTTGTCCCAAATAATGTGGAAACTACTGTTGAAGGGCAACTAAGTAGAGTCATCATTAAATGCCGTCTGCTATAAAGATTAATGTATGGTGGTGATAGTGTTTGCATTATGGCTGTTAGTGTGTTTGTGCTCTGCAAACTGACTTATTTGTAGAATGGCGATTTAGGGTCAAAAGAACACCTCCTGGTCATGTAGCCACTGAAGCTCTGGGCACGTTGAGCGTGTGGTAGGGGAGGTGGCCCAGGCGTGAGGAACAGTGGGGAGGGCTTGTCTGCAGTCCACGTCACTCTATTGTGCTGCGTTGCAGGTCTTGAATTATCAGCAGCAAATTATTCTTTTTTAGTTCTTATTACTAGATTTCTTTAAAGCCCACTTTTATGTCTGCCCATTAATCATCTATGTAATTTTAGAAAGCAAAATGCATGAGACTCAGAGCTAATTATGCATTCTATTATGCCTTTAGATATCTGGATGAAAGTCATGTTCTAACATTCAATCCCTTTCCTAAAACTCATTTCCACAAGTGATGATTTAATGATCTATTTACTTTAAAGGTTTGCCATTGGGGACAGAGATTATCCTGGTTAGCTCCATGTGAAAGCTTAGATTTTTACTTCATAGAATCTGTAAGCATTTAGAAAAATCAGTGTGGGCTTTGAGAATACATTTAAATAAAAAAGGTGTTGAAACCCATGCTTTGACTGTCCCTAAGTAGAAATGATCCCCTTTATATGAAGGCAGAGTACGAGAGCCAGAGTGTCCACAATTCTCCAATTCCACTGAGAAAACACAGGAGCTGACCAACTCTGGAAGCAGCGTGTATGAGGATAAATGGCAGTTTTGGTTTTGAACTTCAAATCCATCTGTGTATCTGTGCAAACTACAAAAGAATGACAGAATTCTTAAATGCAATGATTGCTAATGAGTGTTCTCTGATCAGTTTTGTTGTTTTACTATATCAGATTATATAGAACTAGCTAGTTAGAGCTAGAAATGCAAACTTTGGTTTCATACAGGCCTCTCAGCTTAGTCTCTCAGTTTTTCTTTTACCTTGCAGTTTTGAAAAACAGTTTTCCTCAGTAATAGCATCCATGACTCCTAGGTATAGGTCATATTTTTGATTATAAGGAGACATTTTCCTATGTTTCTAACAGCAGAGTGCAGTATTTCGTAAGAAGAATTGCCTTCGTGTTTTAGTATATATTCACTTCTGTAGGCTGTGCTTTTTTTGCTTCCTTATAATACAGTTCAATCTCAATGTGAGCATAAACTCTTCTGCTATAAACTCTAGGCTAATATTTTCTAAAAGTAAGGTAAATAATACTACTTCAACCGAGTTCTGGATTTAGTGAGAACAAAGGCACAATGGATTTCAGGTGGGGAAGGACTGTTTCCTAGATGTCAGTGTCCATCCCAGAGCCACACTTGCGGCAGAAGATTTCCTTGTTCTGGGTCAGGAAGCCTTCACCCACCAAGGAGACAGCACACTTGCCACAGTTAAAGCATTCGCTATGCCACTGGCGAGCTTGGAAGCAAATGAACTTGGCACCTCTGAGACCTGCAAAGGAATTGGAGAAAAAGGATGAGCTATTCTTTAATATACTATTTATCAGGTGTTCTTCTAAGAACTGGGGACAGAGCAGGAAGCAAAACAATGCAGAAGTGACCCAACGAAGATTACTGGCCCCTCCAGGCCCTGTGTCCCTGGGAGGGTCAGCCATAGGCAAGCTCCTCCTATGTTACCCAGTCACATTCTCAGCCAAATTCCACTGTGATCCACAGGAATAGGAGTAGGTACAATCTAGATATACAGACCACGTCATTTTAGGAACAGATAAGGATTGTCTAGGACAGATAAGGAACAGAGTGTGGGGCAGTGGGAAGAGGGTTTTGAAGTGGGGTAGTTAAGTATGAATATCTTTATCCTTTCTCTCTGTGTGGCTCTAAGTTTACTTAGCTGCAAAATGAAGATAAAATGAAATAAATGTACGCTTGCTAGCTGGGTGTCTGCTATTATTTTAATGGCTCTAAGTTTTCTGTATTTTTTTTTTCTACAGGGTATGTGCATTTGCTGGAGAGAGAGAGAAAGAGAGAGAAAGAGCGAGAAATCACTGCCGGGGGGGAGGGGGGATGGCCACATCTCAGTCACTTCATGTTCCTCTCAGGATTTTGGGCATGCATGCACATGTGCCAGGCATGTTTGAAGCTGCCAGGTCCCTAACTCAAACTGCTGTCAGCCTGTGGGAGTTCAGTGACATAACCATTACACCATCTGCTGATCCTACTTCCCAAACTTTATATGCTTAGTTTTACTTAGGAAATGTCCCATGGGCATATTATGGTTCCAGACACAATTTCTGGGAAGCCGAATAAAGAATTTCATCCAGACTGTCATTCAGCTATCCTAAAATGATGACTGTATGACCTTGTCCAGAGACTATTTCAGCACAGGGTTGCAACAAAGATCTGTGAAGCCAATCGTGTTGGCTCCTGAGGCCATGCTATCCAGGGCCTAGAGTCGAAGTGTTTTGTCAGTCTCTGCCACTTTAATGTGGGTCTCACTTGAGATGTTTTTAAAAGGTAAGAGCAGTTGGTGTAATGGCTGGGTTGCTGGACTCCTATGTAGCCAACCGCGGTTCGAGTCCCAGACCCAGTGGCTTAAACTCATGCCAGGTGTGTGTGCATGTGTGCCCAAGATCCTGAAAGAATGGAGGAGAAGGGATTGTGGTGTGGCCATCCTCCCTGGGGGGTGAATTCTCTCTTTCTGTCTCTCTGTCTCTCTCTGTCTTTCTGGCAAGTGCAAAAAACCTCTCCCCCAAAAAAGGTAACAGAATTCCTCAGCGATACTCTGATTTCTCTCCCCTATATGATTCTAGGTATAGTCAAGAAATTGATTTTGAGAATTTGTAGATAAAGTGAACATTCTAGGAATTGGGAAAGGGTTGAAATGACCTGAGCTTGGGTCTTTACTTACTTGGCAAGTTCTCTCCACGTGATCTGAGTACTGTGTATTCCTGTGATTTGCAGATCACCCATAGAGCCAGGTTAAAAATAGCTCACATGCTATCAGATATAATATCCAAATACTTGATTTGGGATGGTGAGATATAAAAGGCAAATAAGCATTCTACTTCTAATAAAGTCTCCCTAAATATAATAAACTTTTGTTTCCATCTTTAAATCTATATTTGATGTTTGTATTTATAACCTAATAATTCAAAGAGAAATTTGCATCAAATTCCTCTATTTGTCTTGAGTACATTTATAGCTTTCTTATCTATGATGCTATCATCATTACTTCTATTAAGAGCAGATCAATAATATATCAATTAATTCTGTTAGTGTTATTTAAAAGATTAATAAGCTGGCTGCAGGAGTAATGTTCTCTCTATACATAAGTCTTCTCTGCTCATAAAACTAATCACCATGTGCAATTATGAGTTTTACTTGATTTTATTAGTAAGCCTTATACAAGTAGCAAGTGTAAAAGAATTATTTTAAAAATTTACAAAGAAGAAAAGAATAGAAACATCTGACAGCAGGACTGCAAGAAAATGTGAAATAATCCAAAATGTGGGATGCTTGTAAATTGTTTCAAATTTGGATATGTTTGCTCTTTAGGCCAAGTGCAGTAAGAAATTAATTCAGGACACAGGTCTCTGGCACCTGTTTTATCTGGCTTCATTTGTTCCTGACAAGTCAGTAGAACAATAGCTTGGATATGTGCCAGTCACTATTTTAAGCCCTTTATATGTATTATATCAAAATGGTATAAAGCAAGTTCATATAACCCTCACCTTACCTTCCTAGGGTAAATATTACCACCACCCCCACCCTGCAGACAAAAAAGAACAACAGAAAAATCTAACCACTTGCCCAAAGTCACCCAGCTGGTAAACGGCAAATAGGAGCTTCGAGCCCATATTGTTGATCTCACCAAATGAAGGTTGACTTTATCTTTCTAAAGAATGCAGCCAGGGGGACCAGCAGGTGGTGTGGTGGTTAAGGTGCTGGACACTCCCACATGGCTAACCATGGTTCGAGTCCTAGACCAGGTGGCTTGCTTTCTCACTTTCCCTCTTTCTCTCTCTGTGTATCTCTCTGGTCAAATTAAAATAAAATGAATGAATGAATGAAGAAAAGTAAATAAATAATTCTTTAAAAAAAAAAAAGACTGCAGCCAGGAACATTAGCATCTCTGTGAAGAAAACACAACATTTGGGAGTTCTTTTCCTCAAAACATATAGGGATGAGAGGAGCCAATATGTTCAACTCATTTTGCAAATAAGGAAAATGAACACCTTCAGTTATTTATCCATAACCACAAAGTTGTCAGGGGCAGAGGTAAAACCAAGACCTTTTACCAAGGTCATAGTGCAGAGCACTTTCCATTATGCCAAGCTTTTCATTTATTATTCATTATTATAAGAGTGAGTCAATCCCAACTTAAAGAAGGAGAAAAAAATGGTATGAAGCAAGTTCATTGTGATGGGATTAAAAATTATGCCTTGTGATTTATGGACAAATTTAGTTGTATTTTTGAATAATAATTTAATTTAATTAGTTTATTCATTTTTAATTTCCTATAGACCATATGCATTCATCAGAGAGAGAGAGAGAGAAAGGGAAAGTAAGAAGACAAGGGTCCAGGTTCAGGACTTGAACTGTAGTCAGCCATGTGAGAGTTTAGCACCTTAACCACCATGCCACCTACTGGCCCCCAAATTTAGTTGTATTTTGAAAAAATTCTAACCTAGATAGCTTCTTTTTAAACACTGGATTAATTTTTAAAAGAATTATTTTACTTTATTTATTTGTTTGTTTATTTCCATTTGAACAGAGAAAGACAGAGAGAGAAAGAGAAAGTGAGAAAGTAAGGCACCAGGTCTGGGACTCAAACTGTGATGAGCCATGTGGAAATCCAGCACCTTTAACCACCATGCCACTTGCCAGCTACCATTAAATTAATTTTTAATCTACAAATGAAAATTATACATATGGTATATAACATGATATTTTCCTATATGTATACAATGTGGAATGTCATAATCCAGACAGTTGTATCCATCTTTTCATATAAAAGTTTTGCTGATATAACTTAAATCACTCTCAGCAATTTTGGGGAATATAGTACATCATTATGAACTATAGTTAATAGATTGTCTGAACATACGCTGTCTATCTAACTGAAATTTTGTATCCTTTGACCAAGAACATACAGCTTCTTCAGCTGAATTCATGTTCACATGGGTGCTCAACTTTCTCAAGATAAATATATGGCAGTATCAGAACATCCTATTAGGCTGGCCCCAGTGCATTGTTTAAGCACTGTTAATAGAAAGCTGGATCCTATATAGCTGAACATGGTTTGAATACTGGCCCTGGTAGCTTGAAAATCATGTAATTTATGTGGGTGTGTGTGTTTAAAATCCTGACAGAAGGAGGGATGGAAGAAAGAGGATAGTGGTGTGACCATACCCTCTTGAGGGGTCCTCTCTCTCTTTCTTTGGTCAGTGCCTGCACTCTCTGCCAATTAATAAAAAATAAAACAAAACAACAGAATTCCCAGGGACAGAATTCAAATAGCTAGTTTTAAAGAAGCACTACTGCTGAGCCATTATCAGATCAAGATATATTAAAGTGAGTTGTATGTTTTGCAGGCATTTTAGTCTCTTGTGTCTCAATCACAGGGCCAAAAGAAGATGAAGATAATTATTAGCAGTTCCCTTTAGACTACCATTTTAAATTAAACACATTATACTGCATTTAGATTACTTTGGATTTTATAGAAAGAAGATTATGATGATAATAAAAAAAAATTACTTAAATATTTAGACATATGAATCTATGATGGATCAGAACTGAAACTCAAGGTCATAGACTTATGTAGACTTTTTGCCAATCATTATCAACCATTTGAGTGTCCAGAGAGCTTTGAAGCCCACTTTGAATTGTTTAATTCTCTCACTGAAGCCCCACCGACCCCTTTTGGCATAATTCAGGGATGAAGAGTTGTTGAGTGAATTGACACAAAATTTTAACTATAGATTTCATAAAGAGGATTCTGGAGCTCCAGATACTGTTGCATTTCTGGAAGTCCCACATTCTATATATAATCAGAAGAGATATCATCTGGAGGAGTGGGGCCTGGGGAAAAACATTTGGAGGAGGGATATGGAGACAGAGCATTGACGGGATGGGGAGGTAATGGTGTTATCGGTTGAAGATATTTTGAACAACTACATTGGAAAGAAATGTTCACATATTGAAATGTTCACTTTGTATGTTAAATAATGTGGTTGAATGTATAAAAGTAAAATAAAAATTATTATTAAAGGAAAGAAGTTAAAAAAATCAGAAGAGATGATGGCTTTGTTTTCTTGGTCACAGGAGTTACTAACTCTAAAAAGTTCGAGAGCAGAGTGATGTAAAGCAAAGGTCTGAAGCTCAATGGTCTAGGTTTGCTGATGCACATCTTTGCAAAGGCCTGGGAGGGGTGACGAACTGACTGATGGAGGCATGGTGTGTTGAACAGAGAGGGCATGCCCCATGCAACAGGGCAACGGCTCTGCTCTACATGACGATTCCACTGCTGGGAACGCGGCGGCCACCTGTTCACCCAGGGAAGAGCGCCATTTACTTTCAGCAGCACAGTGGATTTTACATTCGCTATTTTGAAACATGTACAAGCAGAACCTGTCTGCTGGCCAGATGGAGCCTGTGGGCTAGTGAGAGATTCTAAAACCATAGAGCTTGCTATGGTTTGTTCACCCCCAACCGCCAATTAATGTGTTGAGATCTTATTGTGAAGGTAGTAAGAGGAAATTTAACGACTTCATGGCATTGGAAGGTGGAGGCTTTGGAGTGAATAAGTGAAGGGGGTGTGTTATAATTGAGTTCTGGATGGATTTCTAAGGACAGAGAAAGATACCAGACTGAGAAACTTTGATGGTCACAGCTTCTCTGCTCTGTTTGTGCCTTGCCCTCGTGACATAACTGGGACTCTTATCAGACCCCCCATCAGAGGTGGCCCCTGGATATTGGACCTCCAAACATTGAGCTGAATAAATCACTAAGTTCATAAATCACCAAGTTGGAGATATTTTCTGTTATTAGCAGCAAAATGAACTAACATTGTGTCCCTGTATAGATAAATAGGACCGTGCTGTTTTTTCCAGTCACTAAATCTCTCCCTCCCTTTGTAAGTCAGCAAAAGCTTCCAAAATGGGATTTTCAGTGACATACTTCCCCTTGGTTGGAAGATGCCTGAAGATTCAACTTTTCTTTTGTTATTTGAAAATCAGGGAGGAGGAAACAGTTCATCTTTAATTCTATGCTACATAAACTGAACTGAAACATAAACTATGATCTAAGAACAGTAGCAAGGAAGAGGACTATAAATTGCCCCAAAGAAGTACACCTGGATTTCTCAGGTACTAGGCTAGCTCCAGTCCCTTTACTACAGGTTAGCATTTCCGAAGTGTCTCTGAGGGAAAAAAAAAAAAAATATATATATATATACACATACATACATACACACACACATACATACATATATAGCAAGTATATGTATATGTATATAGGGTTGTTTACTTAAAAAACTATTTAACATGGATTGATTTACTATTTATGCTATTTTCAAATCCTACCTCACATAGTTCATTTTTCAGTAAATGCTATCTTGTTTTCTTTCATCTATTCATAATTAAAACTTATTGTAAGTGAATAGAGAAAAGGGAATAGTGCTTTTGTTAGAAGCATTTTAAAATGAAGTTTAATTAATTCCTCACCTATGCTGCCCTCATTATTACAGCTTCAGATGTTTTATACGATACTGTATTTAATTAAAACATTCTCTCTCTTAAGGTTTCTTGCCCTTGTTTGGAATTACACAGGATTCTGATTTATTGGTACCCCTTCCTCTCACTCAAATCCTTAATGAGGTTCAGATCACCTTCCTCCTTAAGATTTCTCTGACCTCAGCTCATCCTGTTCTCATCCCTCCCTGCACTGTTACTTAAAGCCAATACCATCAAGTTTAATGTTTAATTTCTCTTTACTATATACAGCCACCCAAATTATACTCTGTACCTTCCTTGAAGGGTCCATATAATATTTATACTTACATATGGCCATCCACTTGGTTTATCTCAAGAGAAAATATAAATGAAAGATTTCCATTTTTTTACATGCATTTCCTAAACTACATAGTGGTAACTGTCTCCAGATAGGAGCACATTGAACTGAAGAACTTACCAGTAATGGGTTTGCTACAGGCTGCACACTTTTTGGCATAAAGATGGTTGTAGCAGTCTAGGCAGAATGGATAATCATCTCTGGACATAAACTCTTCTTCACAGAGCTCTTTCCTGCAGCCACTACACAGAAAACACTCTTTATGCCATAGCTGGTCACGAAATGTTATTGCACCCGAGGTGATCACCTGCCAAAGGATCACAGAAAAGGCAGTGACTCTGAGAAAGTCACAATCATTCAGAGCATTTCTTACTTCTCTTCTGTGTCTATAGATGGTGCTTTAGGCTACGCTGTCACCTTGTCTTAGGAGTCCTTTTCCTGAAACTTCAGTGATTTTACTTGTTTATTTACGCATGCTACAGTGCCTGTGTGCTCACCACTGGAGAGAGACAGAGACAGTGACAGGGGAAGTGAGAAATCAACCCCAGGGGGCATGGCCACAGTACAACCCCTTCCCCTTCGTTCTCTTCTCAGGATTTTGGGCGCACACACACATGTGCCTGGCATGATTTCCAAGATGCCAGGTGCAGAACTCAGACCATGTTTGGCCGTGTGAGAGTCTACCACCTTAACCACTATGCCACCTGCTGGCCCCTAGTGATGTTATTTTATTTTAATCTTTGAATCAGTATGAGAAGCTAAAGGATATAGGGATTAAGAGAACTGTCAGGAAATGAAAAATCATTCTAATTTTTGTCTTACAGTGAACAGAAAAAGAGAAAAGTCCATATTGGATGCAGGAAGATGAAAAAAAAAAGCGTTCTGGAGATGGCAGGTGGCGTGGTAGTTAAAGGTGCTGGACTCTTACATGGGAGACCATGGTTTGAGTCCCGGACCTGGCAGCTCGCTTTCTCACTTTCTCTCTCTCTCTCTTTCTCTCTGTCCCTCTCTGGTTAAATTAAAATAAATAAAGTTAAATAAAACAATTATTTAAAAAAATTTTAAAAGAAGCATTCCTTAATTGACATCCACATCCTTCTCTGAGATTTTAAATTTTGGTTTTCAGATATCTGCCACTAGAGCTAAGAGATTTTCTTTTTTTTAAAGAATTATTTTATTTTACTTTACTTATCTATTTATTTACTTATTTTATTTTGACCAGAGAAGGGGAAAGAGAGAGAGAGAGAGAGAGAAAGCCACCTGGTCCAGGATTTGAACCACAGTCAGCCATGTGGGAGTCCAGTGCCCTTAACCACTATGCCACCTGCCGGCCCCAGAACTAAGATATTTTCTAACTATGTTCTTATTTCCATATCTATCTTTGAGGAATGCTAAAAAACAAAACAAAACAAAATAAAACAATTTTTTTCTGAAAGCTTTATAGCAGATATGAGAATATCTAGGGGTAGTAACCATGAATGGAATTAATAAGCACCATTATTTACTAATAATGAACATTTATTTCCCTTGATAGAGATTTTTGCTATAGGCACATGTGCTTGCCAGAGAGACAGAGAGAGACAGCAAGACAAAAATTGAGAAATCACCCCCTAGAGGGGATGGCCACACCACAATCTCTTCTCCTCCACTCTTCTTTTGGGATTTTGGGCACACATGCACACATGCTCAGTGTGAGTTTCCAGCCTCTGGGACCAGGACTTGAACAGTGGTCAGCCACAGTGGGAGTCTGACGATGTAACCATTATGCCATCAGCTGGTCCCAATAATGATGAACATTTCTTAAGTGTATCTTCCTTCCTGAGCACTCATACTAAGGGATGACCTCTTCTGAATAGTCAAAACACCTCTACAGATGGAGACTATTATCTTTCCCCTTTTACAGATGAGCAGCCTCTGAGGATTAGAGTAAGTAAGCTCCTTGCCTTGGCTACAGAGACCAAGCATTTAAAGCTACAAAGTACGACTCCACAACGTGCATGCTTAGTCAGGAACACAATATAAAGTCAAACAGTAGAGAAGTCTTTTTTGAATGAGTGAACAAATACCAAAGGAGAAAAATCTCTGGGAAGCAATTCTTTTTTTCTTTTTCTTTTTTCTTTTTTCGGAGAGTTTTTTTTTTTTGCCATAGGGCGCGTGCGCTCGCCAGACAGACAGAGAGAGACAGAGTGACAGAAAGCGAGAAATCACCCCCCCAGGGGGGGATGGCCACGCCGCAATCCCTTCTCCTCCATTCTCCTCTCGGGATCTTGGGCACACACGCACACGCGCCCGGTGTGAGTTTTAAGCCACCGGGTCCAGGATGCAAACTGTGGTCAACTACATGGGATTCCAGCGACACAGCCATTACGCTAACTGCTGGTCCCCCTGGGAGGCAATTCTTATATTATATTTGGCATAAATGAGGTTCTGTGGGCAGCTACATGAGTTTTCTGCTTCGTAATTCAATGTAATGAACACTGATTGCACCTTGAGTCTCAAAGTGTGACTCGATAGGGTTTTGCCAGAGATGTGTATTAGTTTTCCCTAAGATAACATACCTTTTACCAAGCTAGTTTAATCCATAGACTCTGCTATTTTAAAAGGCTAAAACATCTTTATTTGAATCAGAAGGATAAATATTGGGCAACTACTCTTGTGCAGCTATTTTTAAGTTATCTTTCAAATCTATGACTATTGAGCTCCTGGAGTTTCTGTGGAATCTTGAGTGTGTTCATGTAAATGTCTTATAATGACTGAAGCAGTGTGGTATTTGAGACAGTTCCTATATTTGTTACTCCTATTAACTAGACAGAAAAAAATCAGAGCCTCTATCAAACCATCTTATTGTTGACAAATTCAACTCTGTTGTTTGTCTATGTTATAGGCTTTTGAAAAAAAAATTTAAAGATATTTTTAATCTTATTACACTTATCTTACAAACTAAAGATATTTGATATCAGTTATTTTTCCGGGAGGAAAATAGTATTCTGAATAAGTAACTGGGAAGCATAACAGTGTGTCTGAAGTAAAGCAATTTAAAACACCCCCTACTGACTTCAAATACCTTACAGCACACAGAGCAGAATTCATGATTCCTTTGATTTGTTTGGTCAAATTATTAGCAGGCAATGCTTAAAAGATTTGCAACTTGAAAAAAAATGTATTCACAGCAAAATAAAACTTGATATATATACCAAAGACTGTTTAATTAGGAAGAAGAAACTCTGAAACATTAAAAATACTTTACATGTGATTATTTTCCTTTTGAAGAGGTAGGTAGGCTAGAATGAAATCTAATATCTAAGTTTAGTTTTTGCCGCTGATTGATCCCAGGATTTATTAGGTCATGGGGAAAGTCATGAGGTGTTTTTCTATGCAAAAATGCATCATAACTTTCCTGATAACTCAATAGAACAAGTTTCTTCTCTGGCAAAGTGGAGGCAATAATGATTTTGTACCCAACTGAAGGACAGGCAAAAGTTGAAGAATACATTTAACTCTGAACCCTGAGGAGTTTAAATTCAAAGCACTTGTGGTTTGAGGTTGCTTGCTTTTCAGTGGAAAATAAATTCTATTGTATCTGAATTTACGAGAAAAAAGTATTCTAAGAGCCTGATTGTCAAGTAATGTTTTGCTTTTTGAGAAACATTTTGATTTGGGTTTGGATTGAAAAATTGTTTTTCTTTAGTTTGGATCATCTTAGTAAATAACATACTCAGTTTTCTTTAAAGGACTTGTGGTTTTAAAAATCAAGTAGAAAATAATCTGCCATGTCATAGTTTGTCTACTACCCAGTATAAACACTTCATACATTCTTGATCACTGTAAATCATGTTCTAAATATAGCCACAGGCTCCTCTGACCTGGGGAACGCCAGTACTTTAACTCACCCAGGACTTAGCACTGATGTATTAGGTTGTCAAAGAAGTCATGATGTATTTTTCTATGCAAAAATGTGTCATGACTTTCACAGCAACCCAATACTAGAGAAGTTCCCCTCTTGAATATTTATAGCATCAAGAGAAACTGTTTGTGTTCAACGAATGATTTTATGAAAATTCCCATAAGTTGCATCCATATTTTAACCTACATCTTTAACAGATGTGGCCTAAAATTAGCCAGCTTAGTTTTCTCTCAAAACTAATTTACCCATTTTATTTCTAGAATCTGCTTTTAAATGCATATCATTGATTCTGGTACTTCTCTGGACCCTCGAAGGTCTGATTGTTGCTTATGAAGTCATTTTCTAAGCTGGTGTTTCTGGTAGAGTAATGGAGGTCTCCAGGCATAAGATGAATTCATGTTATGTTACTATCAACTGTAATTCTCAGCCTCTGTTATAGTATCATTTAATAATTATAAACTAGGAAAATGTATTGATGCCTCCTTACATGCAGTATTACACTTGTAGAAAGTTACTGTATTTGTACGTTACATGCCTGTTTGTTTCTATATGCACCTGTAGAAGGTGGTAGTGAGACTGTCAAGATGCAAATATGTAGCTGGTGTTATGAGATCTACCAAAGCATGCAGAGGTCAAAATATTTAGAAACGTATACTAGTTCAATGAGTTTTCATGAATTGGCTGTCTTATCACCAATGTATAGTGCCATATTAAACTTACAAAGCCTCATAGGTTTTGCCCTCTTTCTTCTTTCTTTTTCTTTCTTTTCTTCTTTCTTTCCTTTCTTTCATTTCTCTCTCTCTCTCTCTCTCTTTTTAATTTGATCCGAGAGGGACAGAGAGGGAGAAAGTGCGAAAGCAAGCCACCACCAGGTCTGGGGCCAGTTCCCAGGTCATGCCTTTCTTAAAGAATATCAGTATATATTTTTATGAAACACAGACAGACTTCATCAAGGGGATGAGTATGAATTATTTTTTTATATATAGAATTTTCTAGGATAAAAAATTTAACTTTAAAATATGACATATTTCTATTAGAAAAAGTTTTTTTAATTTATCTTTTAAATTTATATTTAAAATATTTAATCACTATATATCTTTACAGTGTATACAATGCGTTTTTGATGGGAAACCACTTCAGAAGACCCTACATGATACTCTGGAATCGGAAGTGAAGGAACTTGCAGCTCTCAGTCTTCTCTTATCTCTGTCTCCTGAGCTTCCCTCATGATCGTGTCACTCTCCTAAGCCTTAAACGCACTCATTGGTGATACAGAAACTTCAAGCCAGGGAGACATTGGTGCTGCTGACACATGATATCAGGAGCTAAACATCCTTACATGTTCTATCATAGAAGTTAAACAGCCTTATATTATAAATTGGCTCCCTTACTCATTCCGCAAGCAAACCCATATTTTTCTGAAATAGTTTATATGGAATGGATCAAAACCCCATTTGCTAAGAAACATTCATATTCAAAGAGAGACATGTACCCTCTCCTGGAATACATGAAATTGTATAAAAGCATTGAATGAGAGTGGAATATCAAATTACTTGAGCTGTGTAGAATATTAAATTTATGTTCTCTGTGGATTTTTTTTTTTTTTTTTTGCTATAGGGGGCGGGGGGTCCCCAG